AATCCCTCCTCACATTCATTCTAAACGAGAGCATCACTGGGTGCTGTGTATCGCATTGACAGTTTTTTTCTTTTAGGACTTGGACTCTGTCTCTTCATTCTTTCCTAACCTGTAAGGTTTCCAATGAGAAGTCAGATGTCAACCTAATTGAAGATACTTTGAGGGTAATCTGGCATTTCTACGTTGCACATTTTAGGATATTTGCTTTATTGCTTACATTTGATAGTTTGACTAAAATATATTATGGTGAAGATTTTTTTCATGTCTATCATGAATTCTATATATTTCCTGTACTTAAATGTCCATAACTTTCCCCTAATTAGGGACATTTTCATTATTTCACTATAATCCATTCTATCTTTCCATACCTTCAGGAATTCCTAAGACACACATATTTGTCCAGTTGATGATACCCCATAAATCTTGACACTATTTTCTGTTTTTTTTTTTTTTTTTTTTTTTGTCTGATTGAGCTATTCCCAAAGATTTTCCTTCTAGCTTGGATATTTATTCTTCTGCTTCACCAAGTGTGTTGTTAATGGTTTCATTGTAGTTTTAATTTGACATATTGAATTCTTCCTAATATTTCGGTTTGATTTCTCTTCAATATCTCTATCTGCTAGGCAGAATTTCTCATCTGTGTTACATATGGATTTCTTTAACTCATGTATTTGCTTCTCTGTTTTTAAGTAATCTTATAATCATTCGTTTGAATTCCTTTTAAAGCATTTCATCAGTCTCTTCATCTTTGCTTTCTAATATTGAGGTGGTATTGTGCTCCTTTTGGGGAGTCATATTGTCTTCATTGTTCATGTGTCTAGTATTTTTATATTTTTTAGGCATCTATGGAACCATTTGTTAGTTTTCTCCTCTAAGGGCTTTGTTCTTTGAAATGTGCCTCGAGGGCTCAGTGAAATGTCTGTTCCTTCTGCGGATACCCAGAAGTGTATGCTGCATGGGGCCAGGGATTTCCAGTCAGTGCTCAAGGGTGGGGCAGGAGTCCAGAGCGACACCCAAGTTGGTCATGGTAGATCTCCTCCATCATCAGCAAGGGAGAGGTTAGGATCACACTGGCTGGTTTATTCAAAGTTCCAGCCCCTCTCTGCCAACATGAACCAAAAGCCCAGGGTGAGCCCACGAGGCCTGCGCACCCCACCCACTTGGGCTCATGGTATACATAGAAGATATTTGATTTCTCAGTGTGAGTATGGAGCCCTTTGTGATGACCCTCCCCAGTACTCAGGGAACTCTGAGCCTCTGGAGCTGAACCAAATGAGTATCCAAAGACCCAGCAACACCCCACACCCCACTGCACAGTCTCAGGGCTCAAGTCACAGGGAGTATGGCATCCACTCTCTGCCATATGAGCTTCCCCATCCTCAAAATGGGCCACCCTGCTCCCAAAGCCAACTGCCTGCCCAACAGAGGTCAGTGCTCTCTGCCTTGGCAATCTGAGTCCTGTGCCTTGGTGGAAGCAGGGGAGAAATGTATGCTAACTTCATGGATCAAAGTGGGCACCCTGCCACTCACCAACACTCCAGTTCAGACTCAGAGTCAGTGGGGACTGCAGATTTATCCCTCTGACAAAATCCACCAGTGGTGCAAAGGCTGCAGCAGCACCACTTGCATTATTAAGATGAGGCTTTGTCTTGCATGGATGCTGGATTCCTTAGTTTCAGGAGGGGAGAAAAACAAGGCTGTCCCCTACCAGAACTCAGCCAGACTCAAAATCAGTGGGGACCATGAGGTTCTCCCTCAGACAATATCGATGGTGGCATGAGGGCTGCTGCATGTTCCTCTCACCTCATGCAGAGTTGGTGGTGTCCCCACTAGCCGCCCACCTCAGGATTCACTGGTGATGTCCCACTAGTTGTTGTGTAGTTATATCATCTCCACTGCAACATGAGTCCCTTTTCTTTCTGTAGACTCTACAGACGTCCGTCTAACTGTCCCCTGGGAACACAGTTCCTCCTCTGTTCTTCTGGTGTCTTCTTGTGGTCAAAATCAGCATATCTTTCCCCTTTTCACCTACGTTAGATCTCTCCTGCAGTGGTCTTATAAAAGACATGTTCAAAAAGCTCATGGGAGGGGCCATTGTTGTGGTGCAGAAGATTAGGCCATCACCTGCAAGGCCAGCATCCCCTGTGTACACTGGGAAAGCAATGGAAGGTGGCCCAAGTGCTGGGAGTTCTGCACCCACTTGGGAGTTCTATTCTCCTGACTTCACTCTGGCCCAACTCTGGCTGTCACCATTTGGGGAGTGAATCAGCAGATGGAAAATCTCTCTCCCTCTCTCTATCTCTCTGTCTCTATAATGTCATTTCTCTGAATAAATCTTTTTAAAAAGTTCATGGGAAAAAGTGTTGTTATGAAAAACTATAAATGGATTTCTAAAATTTTTGCATCAAAATAAATTTATATTTTAATGACAATTTTCCAAGATCTTTGTGAGAGATCTTTATACTTATTAAAGAATTTTTTAAACAATTAAAAGCCTTCCAAAACTGAGAGCCCTGTGGCAACATGAGTTCACTGGTGAATTCTGCCAAGTTCTGAAAGAAGGAATGATACTTTTATGTAACCTTTTCCAGAAAGTAGACACAGGGAAAACACTACCTATCCTATTCTTTCAGGTCAGCAGTGCCCTAAAACCAACACCAGACAAAGATATTAGTGGGAAGAGCATCTAGTTTCCATCAATGATTGTGATCAAAGTTCCTGTTAGGCATGTTTTTGCTTTTTAATTTTCCATGTTCTGTATTCCTTTGACATTGTGGGATCTTGCTGAGCTGGGAGACGTTTCCTTTCCTAGACCTAGCTAATTTTTAGCAAATAAATCCCATGAGCATGTATTTCACATGCAAACCAACCAATCAAAAGTACACAATCCAGCTTTTTGGAGGTCTCGCACTTAAGTCAATATTCTCCACACCAAATTGCCACAAGTGCCAACAGGACCCAGAGAAGTTTGTTAAAATGAAATTTTTAAAAATTTTCTTAACAGAACTAAAAGATAAGCCATGAACCAGGGTAAAATATTTGTAAAACAGATAACTGAAAAGGATTTTTTCCACATTTTAAAATAGCGCTTGAAACTCTACAATAAGAAAACAATCAATCCAAATACACAATGGACAAAGGATCTTTGAAGACACCTCATCCAGGAAGCTGCTCAGAAAGTTAATAAGTTAGGGAAAATAATGCTCATTGTGATATATTGATAGAGAAATGCATGCAAAAAAATGAGATACTAAGATATCCCAAATAAAGTACTCACATCCAGGGCCGGCGCCATGGCTCACTTGGCTAATCCTCTGCCTGCAGCGCCAGCATCCCATGTGGGTGCTGGGTTCTAGTCCCAGTTGCTCCTCTTCCAGTCCAGCTCTCTATTGTGGCACTTCAAAAATACATGAATAGCCAATATGCACAAGAACATGTGCTCAAAATCATGTCATTAGGGAAGTACACATTAAACATAATGGTATACTAGTCCACACTCATTAGAATGGTTAGAACTCAAAGGCTGGCATTACTACGTTTGCTGGGAGCCTGTGAGGCAACTGGAACTCTCATGTGTTGTAGGGTGAGAATGTACTAAAATACCACTAAGATGGAATATACTTGGGCAATTTCTTATAGAGTTAGCCCCACATCTTCCTGTGTTTCTGCAATTTCATTCTAGATTTTTCATTCAAAATGATAAGACACATCCACACAAAGACTTGAATGCAAATGTTTACAGTTTTATTTATAATATCAAGAAATTAAAGAAGACACATATTTATCAATATGAAAAGGTTAGGGTGGTACATTTATACAATATAACAATACCTGGCTTTGTAAATGCTCAGTGATGCAATGCAATGGCATGGATAAACCTACTAAATATTACTCTCAGTGAAAGATGAGTGAGAAGACAAAGGTACATTTATCTAAATTCTAAATGTATGCTCTCAAAGGTCACACTAAATTAGTCTTGATAATGAAACAGTAGCCTTGATTGACTCTGGGGACAGTAGGAAATACTAGGAGAGGCAGAAGAGACTAACTGAAATGGAAAATGCTGTATGTTGAGGTCGTTTTTTGACTCACATGGACGCATTCATTTGCCAAATTCAACAACCTCCTCAACTGTACATTTGCAACCTTCCCATTTCACTCTCTCTTAATTATGCCTCAATTAAAAACTATTAAATATGCAGGTTTTAAATCAATATATGTATATAGATCATGTAGCTTAAACATTTGCATATAGTAAATTAATATGATAAACATTGTTATTATTTGAAATAAAAGGTAAATCTGGACAGATCCTGCTCTCAGGGAACATAAAACACTAAGAAGGCCCATTGGAAACCTGCAGGAGGAGTGACAGAGCTCCCAGAGAGGGAGAAACAGGGCAAAGGCATAGGGAAAGGTTGGGGAGGGAAGAAGGTGGGACTGTTGGAGGGCAAGTGAGAGGAAACCACCTGAAGACAGGCTACCTCCAACTTTAAAAATGCATGGTGTTCACTTTTGCAGTTATAAAACTTCATGCTTGCAAAAGCTGAAAGTCGTGAATGCAATAAACCAAAAATTGATGATCTATGTTCAATCAATGGATGTTTCCCACTAGCTTGACTTAAAAATCAGGTGCAGAGGAGGCTTTTGGTCGGGGAGGTGGTAGGTGGGTAGGACAGGTGCTCTCAAGGTGGGGAGGACTCCAGGGAGGGGCCCCCAGCCTGAGAATGGCAGTGAAGTGGCATCTGCTTCCCGGCGACTGTGTACTGACCCCCGCCACCCTGAGGTAACTGAACCAATATTATTTTTAAGAAATTGAAATGTACTTTTTAGATTTCAACTCAATCATGGTTTTAAGTATAAAAATTTATAGATTGTTAAAACTACTTTTTGTGTACTTTTAACCACTCAGCGTAGCACTGTATATCTCATTCTTGTGAGACTCTGGTACAAGGCGTGCTGCTCAGTGATCCCCCCACCCAACCCACCCCGAGATGCTGGGCCTTTGGATGTGTACAGTAACCCACTTAATGCTGATGTTCAAAGCAAAAAGCAAAAAAGTCACCGGAAAAAAATCCATCAGCTTATACTTGTCAACCAAGTCATTTATTCAATAAATATTTAATTAAAGTAAGGGGGATATTTTAAGGACTGACAGAATTAAGGAAGACCTCTCTTTTGGGGATGGATTGAAATGGAATAGTCTTAATTTTATTTAGAGAGAAATTATGGGACAGAAACAAAAGATACTTGTCAAAATAGAAAATTCTTAGAGTTCCTGAATTCCTGTCAGGTACAATAGCCAAAGGAATTCAAAATTTTCCTGCACTTGCTTAAAGTCTTGTACTAAAGATAGGGTCCTCAAAAGTGGGGAAAGTCCTGGATTCTGGAGATTACAAAGCTCGCACTAGGATGGGTGAAGGCCTGGAGGAGGACAGAAAATTTCCTGATGTGATAGGAGCAGGACTGGCTCTGGAAGCCGTATCTGCGTGAGTGCAGAGGGGGGTCTCCATCGCTACAGCAGGCTGCTCCCCGACATCTCTGGGGTTCCCTGGGGAAGCCCGCTTCCACTTTCACCCATCTCAGGAGCGTCCTGCAGAGCTCTCTGGAGAACCTGCTTCAGCGTCTGTCCCCTCCGCCGCTGTCTAAAGGAGCCCACGAAGAAGTAAATGATAGGGTTGGCAGAACTGTTAACACAGGACAGGACCTGTGTAACCTGGTTAAAATAGGCATGGGAATTATTATAAAATCCAGCAATCCAGAATAAGAGATACCAATGGATGCCATCGGGCATGCCAAATAGGAGAAAGACCAGAGCTGTGAGCAGGACAGTCACATACAGCCTGTTCAGGGGAAACCTCTGTGAGCCACAGAGGATCCTGAACAGCAGGGCCAGGCTGGACACAGAGAGGATCAAAAATAATAATATCAGCCACGCTGCAGCGAGAAATTCAAATGACCGACATGTAGAAGGTTCCCAATCGCTAAACAGGAAACCACAACTGTACCCTTCCAGGAAGCTCAACACCAGGGACAGGGCCCAGAGCAGGGCACATATGGCAGCTGACAGGCGTCTGGGCCGGTGGCAGCGGTACCAAATAGGCCACAGGACGGACAAGCAGCGCTCGGTGCTAATGGCGCTGATTATGCTCAGACCGGTAAGGTAGAAAAAATTCCACACAGAGGTTAAGAAATGAGGGACTGAGGTGGAGAACAAACTGAAGTGAGAAAGCACAACGCTGACGCAGAGGAAGAAGAAGTCCGCTGCTGCCAGGTTGAGGACGTAAACGGAGAAGGCGTTTCTGCGCATGCGGAAGCCCAGGAGCCAGAGCACAGCCGCGTTTCCAGCCAGCCCAGCGAGGGCAATGGAGAGCATCAGCCAGCTAGAGACCAGAAGCAGTTTGTCAGGCTTTGGAGTCGTGGTCCCATTGCTTCTGTCCAGTGCTGTCGTTTCGGTCTCCCAGTCTGGGCTGCTTGAATTCGTGCTCGGAAACCCACCAGGGGTGGGGGTGTCCCTGGAAACACAAAAAAGATTTGAGAACCTGCTGTCTGACTTTGATTCTAAAAACTACCCTTCGGTGTTGGAATTACTGTCCTTGTGCCACTGGAGACAGAGAAAGTATTGCAGAAAGTAAATAATTAGCCAAAAGATGGACTGGCCTGGACCCTGGATGAAACCCAGCTCTTTCCTGCTCTCAAAAATTCCACAGCCCTCACAGAAAGCTAATGGAGTTGCAGTCATGTCTTTGACTCAGGCAGGGACAGGATATGGCTTTTGAGCACTTAGAAGAGTGTGCACCCATAGGTTAGGGAAAGGATTCAGGGGTGAATTCAATTTCCTGCACACTGAGTAGTAAATGGGAAGCTTGGAAGAATAGAGAGGAACAGTCACACAACACACATACACACTCGCATACATACACCACAGCACACAGAGTGAGACAGAGAAGGTAAGGGAAGAGAAAGGGAAGGAAGGGTAGGAAATAGGAGACGTGAAGAGAGGGGGGATAGGGGAGGGTAAGGGAGGGAAGGGGAGGGGAGGAGAGGAAACTGTTAGAGATGAGGGAGACGAGTCAAGGAAACAGAGAAAGGGCCTTCTTGAGTGAATTTTCTGTGAGACATACATTATAAATCCACTTGTTGTCTACTCCAGGTAATTTTTGGTCAAATGTGCTTTGCTTATTGCAGTTTTTGTGAAGAGGATTCTGTAAGGATTGGTGGAAATAGAAAACGGACTCATTTGTTCATTTTGCAAAGCATGGGTGAAATAACAGATACTCATGTGGTTTCTGCTTGGGGAAGGAGGATTCATTCACAGCTGATGGAGTAACAGCAGCTGATGGACTCCTTGTCAGGCATAACCACTCTTAATGCATCTCAGAGCCCATGAAGTAAGTACAGTTTTTACTCTCATTTTACAAGTACAGAGGCAGAAGCACAAAGAGCTTGAGTGATGTGATCCAGGTATTGGGCAAACAAGTGTTAGAGCCTGGCTTTGAATCCACAGGTCTTTGTATGAGTCCTTCTCCTTAACCAGCTTTTCAGGCACCCTGCCAAGGTATAGCATTATTACACATGGAGAGAAAACCCAACAAGTAATGCTAAGGTCTAATCACAGATAAAATATAAAAGTTTGGATTTTAAAATTTACAATAAGAAAATTTCTCCGTACATATCTTTGACATCCAGGGTTAAGCTTATTCTTCTTTTTTAAACTTTTATTTAGTAAATATAAATTCCCAAAGTACAGTTTATGGATTACAATGAATTTTTCCCCACCATAACTTCCCTCCCACCCGCAAACCTCCCAAAACCCTCTCCCATTCCATTTACATCAAGATTCATTTTCAATTCTCTTTATATACAGAACAATTTAGTATATTTTAAATAAAGATTTCAACAGTTTGCACCCACACAGAACATAAAGTGAAAAATACTATTTCAGTACTAGTTATAGCATTAATTCACATTGGACAACACACTAAGGACAAAGATCCCACATGAGGAGTAAGTACACAGTGACTCCTGTTGTTGACTTAACAATTTGACACTCTTGTTTATGGCATCAGTAATCCCCCTGGCTCTAGGCATGAGTTGCCAAGGCTATGGAAGCCTTTTGAGTTCACTGACTTCGATCTTAGTTAGTCAAGGTCATAGTCAAAGTGGAAGTTCTCTCCTCCCTTCAGAGAAAGGTACCTCCTTCTTTGATGGCCCGTTCTTTCTACTTGAAGCTCATTCACAGAGATCTTTCATTTAGGTCCTCTTTTTTTGCCAAAGTGTCTTGACTTTCCATGCCTAAAATACTCTCCTGGGCTCTTCAGCCAGATCCAAATGCCTTAAGGGCTGATTCTGAGGCCAGAGTGCTGTTTAGGACATCTGCTGTTCTATGAGTGTGCTGTGTATCCCACTTCCCTTGTTGGATCATTCTCTCCCTTTTTGTTTCTATCAGTTAGTATTAGCAGACACTAGTCTTGTTTGTGTGATCCCTTTTACTCTTAGTCCTATCATTAAAATCAATTGTGTACAGAAATTGATCACTTGGACTACTGAGATGGCATTGGTACATGCCACCTTGATGGGATTGCATTGGAATCCCCTGGCACATTTCTAACTCCACCATTTGGGGCAAGTCAGCTTGAGCATGTCCCAAACTATACATCTCCTCCTTCTCTTATTCCCACTCTTATATTTAACAGGGATCACTTTTCAGTTAAATTTGAACACCTGAGAATAATTGTGTGTTAATTACAGAGTTCAACCAATAGTATTAAGTAGAACAAAAAAAAACTAAAATGGATAAAGTATTACATTGTACATCAACAGTCAGGACAAGGGCTGATCAACTCACCGCTTATCATAGTGTCCATTTCACTTCAATGGGTTTCCTTTTTGGTGCTCAGTGGGTTCTCACTGATCAGGGAGAACATATGATATTTGTCCCTTTGGGACTGCCTTAATTACTCAGTATGATGTGTTCCAGAATCCCCCAATTTGTTGCGAAGGCAGTCAAATACAAAATTAACATTTGGGATTGCATCAAATTGAGAAGTTTCTGTACTGCAAAAGAAACAGTCAGGAAAGTGAAGAGGCAACTGACAGAGTGGGAAAAAATATTTGCAAACTATGCAACAGATAAAGGGTTGAAAATCAGAATCTACAAAAAGATCAAGAAACTCCACGGAAACAAAAGTAACAACCCACTTAAGAGATGGGCCAAGGACCTCAATAGACATTTTTCAAAAGAGGAACTCCAAATGGACAACAGACACATGAAAAAATGTTCAAGGTCACTAGCTATCAGGGAAATGCAAATCCAAACCACAATGAGGTTTCACCTCACCCCGGTGAGAATGGCTCACATTCAGAAATCTACCAACAACAGATGCTGGCGAGGATGTGGGAAAAAGGGACACTAACCCACTGTTGGTGGGAATGCAAACTGGTTAAGCCACTATGGATGTCAGTCTGGAGATTCCTCAGAAACCTGAATATAACCCTACCATACAACCCAGCTATCCCACTCCTTGGAATTTACCCAAAAATGAAATTGGCAAACAAAAAAGTGGTCTACACCTTAATGTTTATTGCAGCTCAATTCACAATAGCTAAGACCTGGAACCAACCCAAATGCACATCAACAGTAGACTGGATAAAGAAATTATGGGACATGTACTCTATAGAATACAATACAGCAGTCAAAAAGAAAGATTTTGATCTTTAATACAGCTTGAGTGGATTTTTGTGTTAGGTGTAAGGTAGGGGTCTTGCTTCATGCTTCTGCATGTGGAGATTCAGTTTTTCCCACACCATTTATTGAATAGACTGTCCTTGCTCCAGGAATTAGTTTTAGATCCTTGATAAAATATAAGTTGGCTGTAGATGTTTGGGTTGATTTCTGGTGTTTCTATTCTGTTCCATTGGTCTATCCATCTGTTTCTGTACCAGTATCGTGCTGTTTGATTACAACTGCTCTGTAGTATATCCTGAAATCTGGTATTGTGATGCCTCTGGGTTTGTTTTTAATTGTACAAGATGGCTTTTGTGTCTTTTGTGAATGGGATTGATCTTAGAAGTTCTTTCTCAGCTGTGGCACTGCCTGTTTATACGAAGGCTGTTGATTTTTGTGCATTGATTTTATATCCTGCTACTTTGACAAACTCTTCTATGAGTTCCAGTAGTCTCTTAGTAGAGTTCTTTGGATCCCCCAAATAAAGAATCATATCTTCTCAAAGAGGGATAGTTTGACTTCATCTTTCCAATTTTTATCCCTTTAATTTCTTTTTCTTGCCTAATAGCTCTGGCTAAAACTTCCAGAACTGTATTGAATAGCAGTGGTGAGAGTGGGCATCCCTGTCTGGTACCAGATCTCAGTGGAAATGCTTCCAACTTTTCCCCATTCAATAGGATGTTGGCCATGGGTTTTTCATAAATTGCTTTGATTGTATTGAGGAATGTTCCTTCCATACCCAGTTTGCTTAGAGTTTTCATCATGAAAGGGTGTTGAATTTTATTGAATGCTTTCTCTGCATCTATTGAGATAATCATATGGTTTTTCTTCTGCAGTTTGCTAATGTGGTGTATCACATTGATTGTTTTGCAGACATTGAACCATCCCTGCCTACCAGGGATAAATCTCACTTGGTCTGGGTGGATGATCTTTCTGATGTGTTGTTGCATCCTATTGGCCAGAATTTTATTGAGGATTTTTGCATCTATGTTCATCAGGGATATTGGTCTGTAATTTTCTTTCAATGCTACATCTTTTTCTGGCTTAGGGATTGAGGTTATGCTGGCTTCATAGAAAGAATTTGGGAGGACTCCCTCTTCTTCGATTGTTCTGAATAGTTTGAGAAGAATTGGAGTTAGTTCTTCTTTAAATGTCTGGTAGAATTCAGCAGTGAATCCATCTGGTCCTGGGCTTTTCTTTGTTGGGAGGGCCTTTTGTTTCAATTTCTGTCTCAGTTATGGGTCTATTTAGGTTTTCGATGTCTTCCTGGTTCAATTTAGGTAGGTTGCATGTGTCCAGGAATCTATCCATTTCTGATAGATTTCCCTGTTTGTGGCATACAAGTCCTTGTAGTAATTTCTGATGACGCCTTTTATTTCTGTGGTGTCTGTTGTTACGTTTTCTTTTTCACCTCTCATTTTATTTATTTGGGTCTTTCCTCTTCTTTTTTTAGGCAGTTGGTACAATGATGTGTCAATTTTATTTATGTTTTCAAAAAAACAACTCTTTGGCTGATCTTTTTAATGTTGTTTTGGATTCAATCCTGTTGATTTCTTCTCTGATTTTAATTATTTCTCCTCTCCTACTAGTTTTGGGTCTGGTTTGCTGCGGTTTTTCTAGATCCTTGAGATGCAATGAAGGCTCATTTATTTGGTACCTTTCCAATTTCTTGATGTAGGCACATATTGCTGTAAACTTTCCTCTCAAAACTGCTTTTGCTGTATCACATAAGTTTGGATATGTTGTGTTGTTATTCTCATTGACTTCCAGAAAGTTTTTGATTTCTCTTTTGATTTCTTCTATGACCCATTGTTCATTCAGAAGCATGTTGTTCAGTCTCCGTCTGTTTGCATATGCTCTAGCAATACCTGAACTGCTAATTTTCAGCTTCATTCCACTGTGCTCTGAGAAGATGCATTGTAAGATTTCGATTCTTTTGAATTTGCTGAGACTTGCTTTATGGCCTAGTATGTGTCAATCCTGGAGTAGGTTCCAAGTAGTGCTGAGAAGAATGTGTATTCTTCAAGTGTAGGATAAAAAGTTCTGTAGATATCTGTTAGATTCATTTGGACTATAGTGTCAATTATATCAGCTGTTTCCTTGTTGACCTTCTGTCTGGTTGATCTGTATATTGCTGAAAGTGGAGTATTGAAGTCCCCCAATACTATTGTATTGTATTGCATTAAAGTCTCCCTTTTATGTGCCTTAACATATCTTTTAAACAACCCGGTGCCCTGTAATTAGGTGCATATACATTTATGATAGTTTCATCTTCCTGTTGAATTGAACCCTTAATCATTACAGAATGCCCCTCTTTTCTCTCTTAACAGTTTTTGTGGTAAAGTTTATTTTGTCTGATATTAATATGGCTACGCCCACTCTTTTTTCATTTCTGTTGGCATGGTATATCTTTTTCCAGCCTTTCACTTTCAGTCTGCATGCATCTTTGTTGGAAAGATGTGTTTCTTGTAAGCAGCAAATGGATGGGTTTTGATTTTTAATCCATTCAACTAGTCTGTGTCTTTTAACTGGAGAGTTGAGGCCATTAATGTTCAATGTGACTATTGATAAGTAGTGACTTTGCCCTGCCATTTTCCCAAGATATTTTCTACTATATGCTTTGCACTTTCTGTGATCTTTTACTGGGAGGTTTTCTTCCTTTACCTTCTTTCATACTGATGGCCGTGTTTCTGTGTGTAACACATCTTTAAGCTTCTTTTTCAGGGCTGAACGAGTGGTGACAAATTCTTTCAATTTCTGTATGCTATGAAAGGTCTTTATTTCACCTTCATTCACAAATGAGAGCTTTGCAGGATATAATATTCTGGGATGGCAGCTTTTCTCTCTTAGTACTTGGGCTATATCTCACCATTCCCTCCTAGCCTGTGTGGTTTCTGATGAGAAGTCTGCTGTGAGTCTAATTGGAGATCCTCTGAGAGTAATCTGACGTTTCTCTCTTACACACTGTAGAATCTTTTCTTTCTGTTTCACTGTGGTGAGTTTTATTGCAATGTGTCGTGGTGAGGATCTCTTCTGGTCATGTTTACTGGGGTTTCTATGAGCTTCCTGTACTAGGATTTCTCTGTCCTTCTCCAAACCTGGGAAGTTTTCTGCTAGTATCTCACTAAAAAGGCATTCTAATCTTTTCTCTCTCTCGATGCCTTCAGGAACTCCTAGAACCCGAATTTTGTTTTTTTTTTTAAATAGTATCCTGTAGATTCCCAACAATATTTTTTAGATTTCTAATTTCCTCTTCTTTTCTTTGGTTTGACTGTATACTTTCCTGTGCTCTGTCTTCTAAGTCTGATATTCTCTCTTCTGCTTCACCCATTCTGTTTTTAAGGCTCTCTAATGTGTTTGTCATTTGATCTATTGAGTTCTTCATTTCATTTTGGTTTCTCTTCAGTATCACAATTTCATTTTCTACTAAATTCCTCATTTCATTTTGATTTCTCCTTAATATTTCATTTTCAGGAGAGAGATTTTTTGTCCTGTCCAATATGGATTTCTGTATTTCAGGAATTTGTTTTTGATAACTTCTAAATTTTCTTATCATAAATTTTTGAAGTCCGTATCTTGCATTTTTTCTATCTCGTCATCTTCATAATCTTGCATTGGAGAATCATGTTTATTTGAGAGTATTATGATATTTTCCTTGTTCTTGTTTCCTTGGTTTTTGTGTTTGTTGTTTGGCATTGTGGAGATATTCTTTGGTTTCTTCTTTTTTTTTCACTGTGGCAGCTTTTCTCGTTATACTATGACTCTAGATTAAGTGGATTGTCTGCTTTTGGTGAATCTCTAGAGGCTTGTTATGGATGTGTCCAGAGAGCTCTGTTCAGTTCTTCAGGGTTAAGGGTGTGCCAAAGGTGAAACACCCAGGTTTGGTGTGGTAAATCAATCTCTCTCTCTCTCTTTCTTTTATTCAGAAGGGAAGTAATTCCACTCAGCTGAGCTCTTCTCCTTGATGGCAATCAGTGCCTGAGCACTAGCCCCAGTGTGTATAATATTTGTCTGCTCTGTCCCAAGGATCACAAAGGATCTGTGCAGTCCTCAATGTAAGCTCAGATTCCCCTGCAATGTCTCACACCAGGTTGCCAAGGCTGCTCGAGCTTGTGGCATCTCCCAGCGAGA